GTTTTAAGCAAAACTTACAATCTTTTCTCAACCAAGTTGATTTAAATCCTGAACCAAGCCAAGAACTGTGGCAGCACCTCACCTGTGTTTTAATTTARAGGCAGTGGGATTTCACAGCAGAAAATGCAAAATGGCAACTTAGATGTAAGCATTTTAATTTCACGTGTAATATTTTAAGAGRACATATGTGACCATCAGATCATGTTATTTCTTTTAATCTGGTTCCAGCTTTTAATCAATACCAGATGTAAAAAAAATATATATACTAATTTCTTGTCTGTTTTAACTCTTTTCATACATGAACTCTTGTTTAAATACCTCACCTGTCGCCTCTCTGACCAGGCGGTTTAAGCAGTACCAGCCTCTGAGTGGAGACCACGCTGCCGATGACGAGGGCAGCTTCTCTGTAACATCAGTACCTTTGCTGCTGTGGAACCTGCTGAGTCGACAATCATCAGGAGAAAGTCGCCCACTTCTTCAGGGAAGGATTATTTGAAAAAAATAAAATAAAAAATAAAATAATCATCATCAGTTTATGTACTAAAAATACACTATATTGGCCTTATATATACATGTATGTAGTGTCATCACTCTGGGAGCACACCAAGAAACCCTAAACATGTAAAAAATGTGAGAACCAAACTGCCACAAATCAGGAACTGTTACTGTAACACTGGCAAAAATAAATTTATTTTGTCCTGCATCCTACATTACATCTTTATAATTAGTAMAAATAGTTGGTAGCAACCATAATGTATTATTTTGTGACCTGTTTATACTAAACTTATTAACAATTTCATTTCTTTAAAGATGAAGTTTTAGGTGTGTGACCCTGAAATGAATAAATGGACCTTTATCACCATCATATGCTTCTCTGATGCGTTTGTCTCATGGCGAAGTCACAGGATTTCACATCACCAGCAGTTAAAAAAAAAGCTTTTAGGTTTAATCAGTAGCACTTTGATACTTTTTCCCCTTATTGACTATAGAGTCAATAAATCTGGGCGCATTAACCAGTTATGTAAATGATGAGACAAAAACATTGTTTTTTTTAATAATTTAAATTTAAAGCAGCATCTTTAAATTAGAACTGTAAGTTATAATCTGTAGATAAAAGCAGTTGGAACAAGAACCTGAACCTTTTTTGTGATGRTAAATAGTCTTTCACTTTAAATTAGAACAATTTAGTTTGGTTTTGTACTGGAGGGAAAATCAGAAATCATTACAAACACCATCAGGTAAGTTCAGTCATTGCAAACATTATTAATCAGCCTGAATGTGACTTCAAATCCACTCTGTGAAAACATTCACTTTACAAGTTAAATTACAGCATTTTGTTTTTCATTTTATAACTCATAAAAAGTCAGATTTATTTTAAATGCAACATGTAATGCAGAAAATGTTGAGTCTTTGTTATTAAATCKGGTGTCCTGTTTCTTTGTTTTTGGATATAATTGTCTTGTTTCACATTTGTCGTAACGTTTACATCTTTGTCATCTGATCACAAATCATCTGTATGGTTGGTTGCTGTAAAGAAATATATCACAGCACTTGGAGCTGCTGGCTGTAAGGTTCTGAATTTACTGTAAACTCTGTTGGAAAATAATTCAAAGAGGAACGTGACTTATTTCTCTGTTACACCAACAGATACATTTATATTGCAGCTGCTTTACTGAACTAAATAAACCTTTGGACAGAATGTGTGTTAGGGTTATTCATGCAAATACTTATAGCTTTTGATATAAAAGCTAAGGGGAGGGGGGGCATGTTGCTCAGAGCTGGCTCTTTTAATGCAAAGGTAACTAAAAACAAAGAGGAAGCAATAAAACATTTGGGCTAAATA